TTTTTTTAGCTTTTTCGCACAGAGGTTCAAAACTACTAATAACTTCACCATTCTGGAAAATGGCCATAATGTCATTGTATAGTTGGTCTGTACCATTTAACCATACAAATGCTATTTTGACCTGCATTGAAAGTGATTTTCATTATTGATCCAAAATCTCCAGTTTAGAAATGCCAGCTGGGCCAAAATGCAAATGCAAGGTTGAGATAAAAAATACTAAGACAGCCTTCTGTCTCTCACCCTATTCAACATGGTGAGAGGCACAATCTGACGTACGTCTTTGAAGTCCTCAATTACAGGATCAGCCTGTGGGGACAAAAACATTTAAATGTTGAGGAACAACCACAAGTTCATGCTAGTGACAGATAATGTCAATTTAGGCACTGATAATTTAATTCATTATTCCATTGTGAAGTCACTGACAAATGAACAAAATGCAAAAACATTAAAGGAGTTTCAAATACATAATTCAAAGAAGGTAAAACTCCATAATTGACAAGACAAAATATGTATTATCCCCCACAACACCTAATTATTCCTTATTAGACCCAGATTCTGCAAGTGAGATCAGACTAGTGTTCTCCCCTAGAGAAAAGTTGTGAAATGAAATACAAAATTATTTTAGCCATAAAAATGAAAATGATTCTAAAACCATCTGAATGCATTTCTCTCCACAGCCTGCGTCAAGATCATCTCAGGTTATCATTAAGATCATTTCTTTGATCAATAACTATAATGCTCTCAGGCATCAGGATTGTGTAATAGAGCATAAAAGCCTATGCTGGGAGGTGACTTAGGAGGCCATGAGTCATAATTGGATTCGTGGAATTAAGAACTGGTTTCACGTGGCTGGTTTTAACATAAATAATAAAAAAAAAGAAATGGGATCAGGTGGGTTAGTGATTATCTGCTTATGTCTTCTCTTGTTTGTCCAGCACAGAATTCTGTAACAGGACTGGAGTGAATCCCAGGGAACATGTTGAGCAATCCTGCAGTTCATCATTTCTCTCCTCCAGAACAGACCTAGTCAAGGCCCAAGAGGTTTGCAAATAAAACAAATTGATGGACGGTCTGACCCTACTGCTTAGCTGTTCGACACATCGGTCTTATACAACTTGAAGTGATCAGGAATGGGCAGCCTTGACTCCTCCATTAAGAGACTCGGTTGCTCCTTATCCTTAGTTCTTTATGGGATCATTAAGAGGCGGGTCTGTGATCAATTAAGGAAATCCTGTTCTGGATTGCCTTTCTGTACTATAACATTTCACAAGAATCAGGCTATCCTGTTCTCACCAGAAAGCCTCAGAATTCATAATGGCTTGCTGGCACTCTGATCCAGAGGACGATTAGAGCAAATTTAGGATGTAGCAACCGTTAAGTGAGCATTTCAAGTCATGGGAGTCAAACTCAGTTCCTGGAAGTCCTACTGTCTTCTGATCTTTATATCTCCCAAACACAGAGTTGAACAGCTGGTCTATTTTTTTAGTTAACAGCATAATTGTAAATACTTTAACCAGGCTTGAAAGTTTTAGGTCAGTGTAATTCTACCAAAATGCATTATTTCAGTAATCATCTGTAAAGGATCTTAAGAAAAATCCTTTATATCTCTAGTCAAGAAAACAATTAGGTTAATTGTTTAATTGACTGCTCTGGTTCAAAAACCAGAAGGCATTAAGCCCTCCAGGAATAGTGTGTCACCCTAGAGTAAGGGTGTGCCTGCTCCTGTCGTCTCGCCATGCTACTGCCACAAACAGTGTGCCCTTACTGCATTGGCCATCTTGATGAAGAAGAGTTTGTAGGTGCCCTCGTGTCCGAAGATGTACGCAAAGGCTCGGGGATCAAACTCATCCTTCTTCACTAAGCTGATCTGCTCCATTGGGTGCTCCAGCTCCACTTGCTGCACAGAACACAAGAACGTGAGACATTAGACTACAGGTTACAAACGAGAAGTTATTTGGGCCTGTACAGCCTGGGTGGTGTGGCGACCTAACTAATCCCAGGATCTCATTCATCTGTTTCTCGAAAGAAACCAGAGTATCGGCTTCAATAAGAGGGCTGGGTAGCTTGTTCCAGACTCCCACAACCCTTAGGGTAAAGAAGTGACCCCAGTTCTCAGATTTAAATGCACTTCAATGCAGTTTCCACTTGTGCCCTCTGGTTCGTCTTTCACTGCTCTTTCTGAAAATACATGCTGGGAAGACTGTCAGTGTCTTTGAGGATTTTGGAAACTTGCATCAAGCCCCCCTATAGTCGTCTCTGTTGAAGACTAAAAAGGTTCAGTTCCTAGAGCCAGTCATTGTGTAGGAGAGACAGTCAAGAAGAAGCAGTCATGAAACGTTTAAGGCCATTCTGAACCCATGTTATTGTTTCTTTTAATAATAAAACCGTAAAAAAACGAAGTTGTACCATGTCGCATAAATCATTCAAGAGAGCAATTGAGAATCCCTTATTATGTAGTGTGAAAAGTCCATCGATTCAAAAAGGATTCCACTGCTCTCTTAATAGACAATGCCTACACCCTGAGAACTGGCTAGACCAGATTCTGTATTGATTAGTTACTACAGCTACCAAATGAACAAGTTAATAGGAATGGGCTCCTGTTTGTAAACCTTTTTGTGTTCAGGTTTGTCCTTTTAAATGCTAAAAAAACCTGCCGACGTTTTTATTCCTAAAATTGAATAAGATACTATCCAGAGAGACTGTATTATTTGAGTGGCAGAATTTCTCCCTGTCTAACATTACTAATATTATCTTTAATTACAGTACAATAACACAAAAGCTTCATGAAGCTGGACTGCTAGCCGCGACCAGCTGTGAAGGATTTCAGAAAACACGCTGAACTCGGAGTTCTGTGAGACAGACCTATGACATCTCCTAAATATTCCAGGACACCCACACTTTATTTTGAATTTGGTAACAGTTCTCTGCAAATATAATCTTGTGAACAATGGTCACTTCCCAGAAAATACAAAAGAGGTGACTACATTGAAACCTTGAATCTATTCACTCTGTAATGTAGTATATTAAAAGCATTTATCCCATCAAATCAAACATTTATTCAATGACTGCCAGACACTAAAGTTAAATATTGGGTGTTTGCTGAAATAGTTTCAGAGAAATGGAGGAATGGATTGCACTATAAAAAGCATGACAAGTTGGCTAGATCCATGACTTGCTTAGAGCAAGCGCAAAGTGTTTTACTGAATCCTTAAAATAAATAAACTATTCTAAATTGCAATACCTGACTTCGAGTGCACTGATGAGATCTCAATGTTTGGACACATGTCTGTTCTGATAGAATTTTCTAAACGTAAAACACTGGCATCTTTTTAATTCCAAAACTTCCAAGAATAATGAATATTGATAAAAATAAGAGTGCAGTTTGCTGCCTCCGTTATGCGTAAATAGAGAAAAGGATTGCAGCATTGTGATTTTTTTACTTGCACTATTCCAGAATTGGTTAATGTTGTGGAATTGTGTGATATCTACTTGGTCATTTAATCTAACATGCTGTGGTAAGGCACCCTGTTTCATTTGATCTGTCCTGTAAATGCACTGACCTTACTGGAAATTCTTAAAATGCTTTGAAACAAATCTTTATGACTTGTTAATTTGACTGTCCCTGTCTGTGCAGCTTTCCTACTGTAATTCTACTGCACTCTATTCTGTAGTGGGGTGAGTCACTGCCAAGTCCTTTCATAGTCACCTCTAAAAAGTGCTCTGTAAAATTAAGAATTAATGGTTTGATTACAAAAAGAGTTTCCAGCAACAGCAATTAAAACTGGTTATTTAAAATATGACTTGCTGTGTTCATTCCTGCAGATAAGATTGCAATCTTCCTACGCTCTAAAGAGTGCCAAAGTCCGGAAACTTTCCCAACAAAGCCAGGCTTTCTAATGCGTTTATCCCCATCTGAGCTTTGGTTGCTGTGGCCTTCAGTTGTATATTCCTGATCACTTCAAGTTGAGCTGTCCTCAATCACATTTTCCATTTTTATTTATCGTATTGGAGAAACCACACAAACATTTGCTTGCACATGTGCCCAAACTAAATGCCAAGCCCCCGTCAAGCAGAGTTCATGTCGCCTTGAAAGGATTGTTCCCAGGGACCCACAATGCATCAGGCCGAGTCCTACCTACCCCTGATTTCTCGTCCATGATTTTCACCCCCGCGGTCGACACCTTCAGCCAGATCCTCTGCTTGTGCTGACCTTGCTGACGCGCGGCCACCTCCCGACCCTGAGGTGAGCAAGAGGCCACAATGCTGTCAGCCCGCACTACAAAAGCCTACCAATGAGCTTTTCCCTTTACTTTCATGGTGTTCACTGTGTTTTAGGCTGATATACTTGGTGCATTCCCTCACTCTCTGATTGTCACTCAATTTTAACCACAGCTGCTAGAGGATGATAAAATATTTCCCCCCAAAAAGCATTCTTTACAATACAAAATTGCCCTTGATTCAATATTCTGACTTGTTCGTGGTCATACAGAGACTTAATTTAAGCACCAGCGATCGGGCACAGTTCTGAAACAGGGCTGGTTGTTTTCCAGTTTACCTTGAGCTTCATCATGGAGTCCAAACACATTTTGTCACCCTGGGGCTCGGGGACATCATCCACCCCAATGAGCTTGGCCTTGTACCGGACTCCATCGCCCTGGAACCGGGCCATCAGGAAGGCTGGGGTCTTGTCTGTGACTGCGGGGAGGAAAGGGCTGGGGTTAGAGAGAACGTGGATGACGGGCATTTCAATACCATGTGGCAGAAACTCAGACGTACCCAGCATCTTGCACTATTCCATCACTGCAAAACACTCTGCAGTTTTGCTATTTGCACCCGTTTCAAGTAAAATCTGCCACACTGTTGGTGAGGAACAAGCACTATTCCGTTAACCTTGCACAGAGACTTCAGCCCGCAATGCTAGAATCCTGCCATAGCATTTTGTGAAACTCCAAAGCAAGAAAACCAGACAAGGAATACTGGCAAAAGCACGTAGATTGTTGTTTATCAGACTCCTGGTTTTGGAATAAAAAAAATAACTGTCTCATTTTTGCACAGAAAGAAGTTTGGACATATCTAAACTTTATATTCCATAGATTCCAGGCCACTGTTCAAAATCTCTAGCTTGAATAACACAGCTCAGTGCACACCTGAAAAGCTGGGGGGCTTCCTCTCAATTCTAACCTATCCAGCTTGTTTGGTCGCTAGTTGCTAATTGTGTGGAGGTAACAGATCTGACCACATGGCATGCTGGGTAACAAGTCTCAGGCTTCAACTGCAATTTGTGTAAAGAAGTGTCTCCTGTTTTCCATGTTAAATGCACTTTCTCCATAGTTTACTCTTGTGTCCTCTGATCTGGGACTATAGGCTCTGAAGATGTCCACCAGGTTGTCTTTATCTCTGCCTCTGTGTCAGGTCCAGTCTCCTGCAGGTTTTCTCCATTCAGGACTCAAGAGAATCTGTTAGTTTAGTCTACCAAGACAGGATATTCCTTCAAGCCCAGAGATGTATCAGGCTGCTCCTCTCTGGACACCAGGCCAGTAATATCTTTTAGTTAGTGGGTTCAAACTCCAGCTATGCCCTTAAATCCAGTGCATGATCGAGCTTCCTTTTGGCCCTTCGGTTGACAGCTAAAGTAAATCCCTACTATAAGTAACTTGGCCTCAGCAGTTGCTGATTTTATATCTCACTCTGGTGATGCATTAGATTCAACTGCCCTCTATATGAGTAATGTCTGCTGTTATTCTATGGAAAATGCTTGCATGCACTCTGAGTGACCTGATATATCCCACAGGAGGCTACTTGAAATGTAATGACATGTGTGAAGCATCAATCATACACAAAGGTCAAGAAGCTACATGTATCTCACCAGATTTCAACTCTCCCTTGTCAGATAAGGAATTATTTAATCTACAGGGTGGGATTAATTACAATGGATGACGAACAAAAGAATTACAAAAGTTTATAGTGGCCTTTTTTGGTGGTGGGGGCACGTTCGTCCAGCCCTGCTGACGAGCAGCGGAGTGAGCTAGCATTGACGCAGCAGCTGGTTACTTCACCATCCAACCCATCTCCCAGCGCCGGTTGTCGTGGATACCAATTGTCTGGAGACTTGGATCACCTGGGGACGATTTACGACCACGCCCATTCCAGGTGGTTCAGAAGATAAATGCTGGGATCTGATTGAGCTCGAGGGTCTGACAGAGTTTTGCCTCTGAGCCCCTCAGGTCTTGCTGCCGTTTTTCTCTAGTTTCCTTATCCTGACCTTTGCTTTTGCATCTCTCAGGTCCCCCCTGGTGTTGGTGCCTTTGCTGCCTTTTCTACAGATCCAGGATCTGCCCTTTGCTTTGATCTGCTCTTCACCACGTTCCTGGATCTGACTCTCGTGCTTTAGACTGTGCTTAGTTTCATTTTCATCAGCTTTGACTCCCTATAGCTCAGCCACGGACTGAGCAACTTCCAAGCAACTGCTTTGAAGTCTGCTTCACGACCATCTCTGCCTGCTACAGCACCATGTCGCTTCTGGCCTCAAAGGCCTGTGCACTTCCCCTATGTGTGCACACAACACTGTGTAGTTTCCCTTGGCTGTGAGCTGCTTGCTTCCCTTTGTCCTTACCTGGGGTCATCTGCATGCTCAGCGCAGTTACCTGCCTGTGTGTGCGCCTGCTGCCTGCACAGTTCCCTGTGTGTGTGTGTGCTGCCTGCGCAGTTCCCTGTGTGTGTGTGTGCTGCCTGCGCAGTTCCCTGTGTGTGTGTGTGCTGCCTGCGCAGTTGCCTGTCTGCAGGTTTTCCTGTCTCAGCTGCCTCACACCCGCCACTTCACTCCGCACCTCAAGAGTTGCTGCTCATCCCACCACAGCAGTCGATTATTTCAATAAAATCCTTTCCACAGCTTGCTAAATATTTCCTTCCTTACATTTGTCATGGAAAATTCTTCAGGGAAACAAAAAACAATCCATGATGAGATAAATGCGAAACAATAAAATGGCCTCTCATGTGTTACCTATTCTACACGGTTGCGAACCATAAAAAAAACAGTTTGTACAAAATAATGGGTAAACGGCCGTTGCAAATTCTGGAAGGCAACGATGGCGGTCTTGAGGCCAGCTGGAGGACATCCACAAAACCACGTGATGCGTATTTGTCCCTTGGTGGGGGCAGAGCCGACTGCAGCACAGGGAACTCGGGATCCCTTAGCGAAGAGTGCATAGCCCAGTCCTGGCACCATTCTGTGTTCACTGGGAATGTCTGACCACAACTCACAAATAGCATAGCCTGCATTCAAATCTGTGATCTCCAAAGTAATAGACAGGGTCAAATCTAGAGCAGCATTCTCTTACAAGAACTGCAGTCCCACAGCTTATTGTTTAATTGATTTTATAACAAGGCACTGCGGTTTTTTTTAGTTGTTTCACATCACAAGAAATCAGTTCAGAGGGTTAATCACATCCACATTTTTTGGTTTCAGCAGTAAACATAGAGAGGCCTGTGTTTTCTTTATAACCTAGTTAGCTGAATTCCTCTGCGTACCAAACTCTCAAAACTCCAGGACACAATGAATAAGATTTGAAAACTGTTTGGTCTTCAGAAAAGAAGAAGCAGAAGCTGAATAAAATAAAGACTGAAATCCGATGCATTCACCATACCTAACCACCAAAACTCTCTCCACACACATGCAAACAATTGATATTAATGCATGGTCATGAAATACAGCTCGGTTCTTGCAACCTCACTAGAAGCCCCAGCAGGCTGACTTCACCACTTCAGTGGAGACTTGTAAGAAGTCCTAGCACACTTCAGTGTCGTTCGTAAAGAAGTGTGTAAAATCCACTCCACACCGCAACTCTTCAAACAACCTCTTGTGTTAGCATAAATGTGTTTAACACGGAGACACATGCAGCATGAAACAGACGCCATTAACTGAAGTTCAGGGGGGATAAGAAGTCAACCACACACAGCCTGACTGAACCGCCATTTTTAGGGAAATCAGCTCTACATTTTGAACACAAACACTCCCCTTTCCAGTGGTTTCAAGTATCCCTCCTCCACCCCGTCTCCTTCTAGCAACTGCCCCTAGGGTCACTCGGTCTGACTGGGGTTCGAGCCTCCTCGTCCTGTGACCATTAGGCTGCCCATTAACCAAGCGGGCTACAAGAAAATAGGTTTTCTATCATAGAATTGGTTCAACAAGGCAGAGGAAGTTCCTTTATCCTGTTTTCTTACTTCATATCTTTAACCATTAGGCCGGAACCCCCCCCGACATTTCAATTGTAGAATACAAAAATGCTGAGCTGGACACAGAGTTAACGTATGTTGTTCTTATAATAAAAAAAGAACTCTGCTCTAGGAGCTTAATGTTTAACCTGATGTCCTTGCTGGAGGGTTTTTATTCTGTGAAGTGCCCTCTCACAGTTCTGCAGGGTCACACTGATCTTGAGGTGAAAAGGGAGCTCAAGAGCTTGCCGTGTGATGCCAGAACAAGCTTTGTTTGCAATTGATCTGAAACCCAGGGCATTCAGGGCAGACAACGGTGAGAAACCCTTTGGCAGAAAGTCCTATCACCATTACACACTTCAGCAGAAAGATCTGGCTCAAAGTACTGCACAGTAAATGAAGCAATAGCCTCCTCTGAATCTGCCTGCTATTTCCTCTGTTGCACACTGCAATAACATATCACATTCCTTCTTTCCCATGTAAAGTTCACTGCTTCAGTTTTAAAACAGTCTATGCAATCTGGGAGATAAGCTTTTACATTTTTATTGTGATAAATCTTGCAATTAGCATAGCCTAGGGTAGTAAAGCACACCAAGAGTATTGAAAAACACTTGGACAACACTTTGAAAGTAAGGTAAATCAGTAAATTGAATAGACATTCACACTAAAATGCAAAATTCACCATGGCAAACTTTCATTAGCTTTAAATATTGTGGGATACTTTGGCTGGAAACCTAGAGTGGTTTTATCAGTGGTGGCTGGGAGGTAAAATGGTAGGGATGAATATTCTTCTGCTTTGTTTTTCTTTTTTTTTCCCCAAAGAAAATAAAACCGAAGGACACATAAAGAAAACGATAAGTGACAAAGAAAGAATAGACGATGACAGAAGACAAAACTCCCCATCCAGTCAACAGGTGCTTACAGGAGTTTCCTAATCCAGTGCCCCTCACTCCCTGCTCTGTAGAACCCCAGTCCCGCAGGATTTCAGAAGGAACCCAAACTCCTCGATGGCTAAAGCAGGGGCCTCCTGGGGACCCCAAGTCTTGTTAGTCAGGTAGGACACTTGCTTTTAAAGATTCGCAAACCTGGCAAATCAGGTAAGCCATTGATGAATTGAGCATAAATCTGTCTGATTGAGAAAACTCTGGTCTTTGATGGCCGAGGGCTATTAAGATTTAATGATCATCCTAAATGAGCACTAAATTTCTTAATTTATCAATCAATTAATTTAATGGATTACGATGGAATTGTTTCATATCTTCAGAAATTGGTGATTTAATGGTGAACTGCAAATCCTGCTGGACTGGGGCTCTGCAGGACCAGGGTGGGAGATCTGTGGACTCTGAAACCGTTAAATAAAGTCAATAACTAATTGATAATAATTTAATTAGGCCATCAACCATTCAGGTAGAAGCCAAAAGATTCTGTGTCTCCCTTTAACAAGAGTAAAGATCGCTTGTCTAGAGATCAGGTTTTCAAAACTTCAAATCACAGCTAAGGAAGGATGTGAAGAAAGGTCAGATGTTTTGAGACTTCTGAATCAAGGGGTTGAGGTTTACCCAATCACACCTGGAGCAAGGGTACAGTGCCACATCCATCCGCTACGCCAGCAGGAGAAACTAGCTGTGACCTCTTCAGAACCTCCCATCCACTTTGAGATCTAATGGACATTTCACTGGTGTACAGTCACAGCAGACAGTTGTATTACTACTAGTAAGGATTACAGGCAGTGTCTTCAACGGCAAATAAAAAAAACCTATGTGAAAGTATAAATACTGCATCTCAGCTCTGCTTAGCCCATTTTTCATACCAGACTCCTCTGCTTCTGAGTGCTAAGAAACAAGGTTCATGTGCACTGTGACCTAAACTTGGAAGAGTGATACTACAGGATTCCAAAAAAGACAGCAGAAATAAGAGGAAAGTTTAGATTTTACTGCTCTTTCCTGAGCTGTAACAGGGGGATTTTCACAGCAGTTTGTTTGACCAAAAACATATTTTTGTCAGACTACATGCATACCTGGAGAGTGGAGTGCTTTCAATTGTGAATTGAAGTTAACCGAAGAAATGTTTACTAGGAATGTTGACAATTTTATTGCATATTTTTAGTGGTTCATAACATCTTATTGCAGGTCATTTCAAGACTGGCTTTTATGGGTCATTGCACGTGAAAGGAGGACAGAAAGGAGACACAAGGAGACAGGAGAAAGGAGAAAATAGATCTACAATTTAGCCAACTAACTGATTTCAGTGAAACCACCACATGCAATTCTTTCACTGCTGTCAACATGCTGCGCATCCCAACACCGTGTATTAATATGAAGTTTCCACCAACCAACTTACCTTGATGAGCATAAAGAGGGTGTTGATACAGGAACAGTGTAGAGATAACCTTCTGCAAGAATAAGTGATCTCTACACACATACAGTATCTGTAGCCTGCAGATCTGTCTGTAGACTGAGTAATAAAAGCCTTTCATCTTTTACCTGTGGGCTACATATTTGGTACAGGGTAACATGACTGCAACTTTATCTTTTGTTTATTGAGCAGCTGGTTTTTATTTTAACCTTCACCTATATTCAGGACATTTAATTCCTGTCACCTTATTTTAAATATTTTGGCACAGACACGCACATGGAGTTAATATATTGCATGTATGCAGTTCATCTGCATCTAAACTGAACTTGAGGAAGAGCATCTTGCAAAACCTGAAGTGGAGAAAACTGCTAGGTAATGGGATTCTTACTCCTTTACCTGTACTTGAGTACATATGAACGTACAAGCAAACAGGCACATCCTTTATAATGCATTACCATTCTAATCTTTGACAAGCATTGAGTAATTAGTTTCATTTCAAAGAAACAAAACTAAATGGGTTCTGTATCTCTTTAAGCTGCAGTTCATGCCACTGAAGACAGGGTGTCAATAATACCTGCTCTCGTTCAGATCCTCATGAGGTCTCACCTTTTTTGCTGGTCCGGCGAATCCTAATGGGGTTGTGGTTCTGAACCGGCGCACTGAGTGGTGGGGTCTGCTCTTGTTCTGTCGCCATGGCAGTGTAGGATTAAAGAGGAGGGCCAAGTCCAGAGACTCCGGGGATTATCCAGTCAGTTTGGCATCATCATCCCTCCTGTAGACACCAGACAGAATGGACTTCCTGTAAGCTCTTGAGAGACAGGTGCACTATCGGGTGAAAAGGTGGTCAGGTCTGTGACTTGTCTGGCTTAAAAGAGGTGAAAGGAGAATTAACAGTAATCCTATGCTTTTCCAAGAGACAGTCCTGATTCAGAGTTGTTTCCTTGGCAAAGCATAACAGATGAAGAGCGGGATTTGGATGTGATGGCTTTGG